GGGTTGATCACGACGCCTCGCTCTCTCGTCCAGGTCAAGCCAGGTCCGAGCGAGAGAGGAGCGAGCGCGCCGCTGCAGCCAGCGTGGCTCTCGGCGCGTGGCGGCGCCCCGCAAGCCGCCGGCCCCCGCCCGAAGCTCGGGGTGGCGCGCGATCCCCAGAGATGCCCCGGCTCCTGGGCGGGGCGGGGCGCCGGGAGGCAGGAGGAGAGGAAGCGGAGGAGGAGGAGGAGGAGGAGGAGGAGGAGGAGGACCAGTGCAAAACCAAGAGTCATCAACGATGTTGGAATTAACCCTCCCTCCAAGCTCCCTCTTCATAGGCCCCCACAACGGTTCATTTCCATTGAGGGAGCTGTCTCGTTGGAAGACAACCGTTTGAAGATCCTGCAGCATGCCAAAACATTGTTCTCGGGATTTCAACGCCACGCATCAACCTGACTGCTGCATCTTGACGATCCGGAATCGTGCCAGAGCGCCGTTTCTGGGCCTTCAACACCGCGCATCAACAGCACTGTTGGACCTGCATAATCCTGAATCTCTCTAAAACGCAGTTTCTGGTACGCTGATCATAGGAATCCGTAAAGCTCTTGCAAATGTTGAAAACGAATGTGCGCAGCGCGAAGGCGAGAGCCACAGTTTGAAACATAACCGCCCTCAATCCGCGAAACTCTTACAACTTTTGAAAACGAATGTGCGCGGCGCGAAGGCGAGAGCCACAGTTTGATAACGACCCGCCCTCAATCCGTGAAACTCTTGGAATTTGCTTAAACGAATGTGCGCGGCGCTATGGCGAGAACCACATTTGATAACGACCCGCCCTCAATCCGTGAAACCCTTGCAGTGGTTTAAAATGAATGTGCGCGGCGCTATGGCGAGAGCCACATTTGATAACGACCCGCCCTGAATCCGTGAAGCTCTTGTAACTGTTTGAAACGAATGTGCGCGGCGCTAAGGCGAGAGCCGCATTTCATAACGACGCTGTCAATCCGTGAGATTCTTGCAAGAACGAATGTGCGCGGCGCTAAGGCGAGAGCCACATCTTGAAAACCATCTGCCCTCCATCTGTGAAACTGTTGCCATTTTTCACGCTTCAGAGTCATAGACAGTGAGGAAGTCTCAGGCGAAACACCCGTCCCGCCCTAAAAGCTGGTCTCGGGGTGCGACAGGGGGAGTTATCTAGAAGGAAAAGAAATAGAGGAGGAGGAGGAGGAGGAGGAGGAGGAGAGAGGAGGAGGAGGAGGAAGGAGGAGGAGGAGGAGGAGGAGGAGGAGGAGGAGGGAGGAGGAGGAGGAGGAGGAGGAGGAGGAGGAGCGAGGAGGAGGAGAGGAGGAGGGGGGGGGAACCGGAGGAGGGGAGGAGGACGAGGAGGAGGATGGGGGGAGGAGGAGGAGGGAGGAGGAGGAGGAGGAGGAGGAGGAGAGGAGGAGGAGGAGGAGGAGGAGGAGGAGGAGGAGGAGGAGGGGGAGGGGTGGAGGAGGAGGAGGAGGAAGGAGAGGAGGAGGGGGAGGAGGAGGAAGAAGAAGAAGAAGAAAAGGAGGAGGAGGAGGAGGAGCAGGAGGAGCAGGAGGAGGAGGAGGAGCAGGAGGAGGAGGAGGAGGAGGAGGAGTGGGAGGAGGAGGAGGAGGCGGAAGAGGGTGAGGCCGAGGAGAAAGAGGAGGAGGAGGAGGAGGAGGAGGAGGAGAAGAAGGAGAAGGAGAAGGAAAGCAAAGAGAGAGAGGAAGAGGAGGAGGATGAGGAGGAGGATGAGGAGGAGGAAACGGGGAATCGGAGGAAAGGCGTGCAGGCTCAAGGAAGCCACATGGCGGCCAGATCCTAAGAACCAAGAGCTCCGGAAGCTCAGGCGGAGCGGGTTGCCAGGGGGGAGGGGAGGTGGAGCGCTCGGAACCGTGGACCTTCCACCTCGAGGGCCCGAGCCCCGCAGGTTCCTCTTCTTCCTCCTTGCGGGTTCTTTCGCGTCTGGCAGTCCCGCAGGCGCTCCTTGGGGGGGAGCGGGAGGATGGGACAGGAGTGGCTTTACAGGTTCGGTGTTTCACATCTTGACCCTGGAGGGGGGTGTGGCCGCGGGCAAATCCCCCTCTCCGCCGCATCGCGGGCATCGAAGAGGAGGCAGGGGGGCATGGAGGATGGCGGAGGAGGAGGAGGAGGAGGAGGAGGAGGAGGAGGAGGAGGAGGAGGAGGCGGGGAGGAGCAGAGGGGGGAGGAGGGAAGAGGCAGGCGGTGGAGGAAGTGAGACGGGAGGAAGAGGAAGCGAAGGGGAGGAGGAGGAGCAGGGGGGCGGTGTGAAGTGAGGCGGGGAGGAGGAGGAGGTTCGAACGGAGATCCCTCAGTCCGGCCCAAGGCTCACAAAACGAACCTTTCAAGGGGTTGTTGCGTGGGAGGGAGGGAGGGAGGAGGGAAGGAGGGAGGGAGGGATGGGAGGGAGGACGGGGAGGGGGCGAGGAGGAGGAGGAGGAGGAGGAGGAGGAGGAGGAGGAGGAGGAGGAGGAGGAGGAGGAGGAGGAGAAGGGGGCGAGATGAAGGAGGAGGAGGGATAAGGCATAACAATAACGCTTCAGGGTCAGACCTAGAGCCCGAGAAACTAAAAACAGATGCGGAACGAAGAGGACGAATGGGAGGTGTGAGGAGGAGGAGAGGTGAGCCGTAAAAAGGAGGAGGGGCATTGCTCCTCCTTGCACTGCCCTTGCGCGTGTACCCCGTGCCGAATACCCCGTTCATGTCTTGCAACAGACACTGCCCCATAGCTTGTCTCTGGTTCAGCACATGTTGTTGCGAACGACTTCCTCAGGCTCAACGTGTGAGAAGTCTTCGTTTTTGATAAGGAGAAAGATGAGGATTATCCTGACGATGCTAATGACGATGCTGCTCACCACGAGAAAAAAGGATGAGGATGCTGATGATGATGGTGGTGGTGATAATGATGATGATGATGATGGTGATGATGATGATCGTGATGATGATGATGCTGATGATGGCGATGCTGATGATGGTGATGATGATGATCGTGATGATGATGATGATTGTGGTGGTGGTGGTGATGATTATGCTCATGGTGGTGGTGATGATGACGATAATGATGACGATGCTGGTGATGATGCTGCTGCTGCTGATGATGATGATGCTGATGATTATGATGCTGATGATGATGATGATGATGATGATGATGATGATGATGATGATGATGATGATGATGATCGTGCCAATGCCACGCAATCACGAATGAGAGTGAGGGTGTGTGGGGGGTGTTTCGCTGGGGGTTCGGTGCGCGAGCGCACGCGTGACAAATACCGCGGGGCGCGCCGATTCTGTTCTAAGCAGCCAGCCCGCCGAAGGCGCCGATCTTTTTGCAAAGCAGCGAGGGGCTGATTCGCGGGCGGATCGTGAGCTGCTCGCGAGGTCCAGAAGCCAATGTGAATAAGACCGCGCAGGCATTGCTTCTTTCGTACGCAGCCAGCCCGCCATATGCGGCTCTGCGTCTGCAGAGCAGCGTGGGTGGGTCGCGGGGTCGCGTCGCGTGTGGGCCTCGGGGGCGGCGAGGCGGAGGGGTCGCGAGGTGGGTCGTGGGGCAGGTCGCGGGGTGGGCCGCAAGCAGGCCGCGGATGTGTCGCGGGGCGAGCGGCGATGATCGCGAGACCAACAACAATCATTTTGAGACCGTCCGTGCTTCTGCTCGCGAGTCGTCCAACATGTGTGCCCCACGCTCTCGGCTGCCCCCCTCTTCGTTCCCCCCCCTTCGGAGGACTTGATTTGCATACGAATACCCAGACCCCCGACGCCGCGATTCTTTAGCAACGTCGACCCCGAGATATCTGGACCCCTTCCCGGGATCAGGTTTTCATCCTGAGTCGTTTTTGGACGGCCCCCGGGCCCAGTAAAGGGCCCCCAGAGGCTGGAAATAGCGAGGCAAATCCCATCGTGATTGCTTCGCATCGCGAGAAGGTATGGGTACTACCGTGAGCCCAGACACAGACAGGCGCGTCAAGCGGGCCAGACCTAACGCGTGGGTCGACCAGGCGAACCCTAACGGGCGGACAGGGCGCGCTAGCCCTCATGGGCAGGGCGGGCAGTACCTCGCAGTGGCCGGGCGGCATCGCGGGCAAGCGAAGCGGCGGACCCCGACTGGCGTGTCGAGCGTGCGGACCCCGACGGGCGTGTCTGGCGGGCAGGACACTGAAGCGCGACTCCCAGACCCCCTCGCGCTGTGAAGAAGTCACGACAGGAGGTTTTTCCACATTTTCGGCCTCTGGGGGCCCTCACCGGGCCCCGGGGCCGTCAACAAACGAGTCAGGATGAAAGACCGGTACCGGGGAAGAGGTCCAGACCTCTGGGGGTCGACGTCGTGAAGAAATCATGACGTCGGGGGTCTGGGTTTTTGAGTATAGCGTGCCAGAGCCCATCGCCGTGTTTGAAGTCACTGAAAGGAAGTCCTTTGCGAGATTGCAATGTATGAGTGGCGGGAGCGAGATGTTTCGGTAAAGTGTGTGCAAGGGTGCGACTCCCAAGTGTCGAGAGCGCGGCGCTTGATTGAATAGACAAGAGGTCTCAGGCGAAAGCGGAGTACCTGGTGAACTACATAGCCTAGGAAAGTGAAGGTAGCAAGCCTGATGCAAGTTTGTGCAGATCATTGTGTAGCAGCGTGCGGACATGAGCTATCCCACATCATGGGATTGTGCATCGCGGCGTTCGCGGTGCAAGCTATCGTGTCCGTAACCGTTGGCTCAAGCATCCGAGCGTGGAGGAAAAGAGCGCCCTATTCTTTCCCTCCCATCTGCGATCGCTCCCGCGAGTTTCGTACTCGCGCATGGTAGCGGAGCCTGCGGTTTCAGTCCGCGGCTCCCCCTAGGCAGCGGGTAGCCCCGCGCCTGGGAAGCCCACTAGGCAGCGGTTAGCCCCGCGCCTGGTTGGGACCCGCGACCTGCGGTAGCCCCGCGGTCTGCGGCAGTGCATGCCCAGCAAGCGCGGCGGGCGTTCCGTCGGCGCCCGCGCGCGTCGTTCCGGCGGGGACGATGGAGGAGTTGGCCCAGCGGCTGCAGGCCATGGAGGCGCGGCAGCAGGAACTGGTGCAGGAGCTCCAGCGGCAGCAGCAGCGCGGGCAGGCCGCGGAGCAAGGCCTGCAGGCGGCGCAGGCCGAGCTCGCGCAGCTTCGTGCCGCGCCCGCGGCGGCACCGCAGCAGCCGCTACTGGAGCGCCTTGGCGGCGCGACCGTGGACACGCGGACCCTGGGGAAGCCGGCGAGCTTCTCAGGGCACCGCGAGGCGTGGCGGGAGTTCCGTTTCGTCTTCCATGCCTTCGCCTGCGCCGCGCATGCCAACATGGCGGAGCTCTTCACGCGCGTGGAGGCGATGGGAGCCAATGTCGTGGAAGGTCAAGATCTCGACGAGGCCACGGCCGCCTTGAGCCGCCAGCTGTATTACATGCTGGTGATGACGACGACGGACGACGCTCACCTTCTCCTGCACAACGTGGAGGAGGGCAACGGCGCAGAGGCCTGGCGGGGGCTGTGCTGGGAGTACGAACCAGACGTGCGAGTCCGCCATGGCGCAGTGCTGCACGCACTCCTGCGCCGCGAGTTCGGCAAGGACCCGAACGGCGACCTCGCGAAGGAGATCGAGAGCTTGGAGCGGGACGTCCGGCGTTGCGAGAATCAGAGCGGGAAGGTGCTGGACGAGGACGTCAAGATCTCGACGTTGGTGGGCGGCATGCAGAACACGAAGGTCCGGGATCACCTCCTGCTCAACGCCGCTCGTCTGGACACGTTCCAGAGGCTGCGGGCGGAGGTCCTGAATTTCGCCGTGGCCAAGCGGACGTGGGCCCAGGACGTCGACGACCCCATGCTGATCGGAGCCGTCAAGGACGGCAAAGGCAAGACCTCCAAGGGCAAGGGGAAGGACTCCAAAGGGAAAGGAAAGGACTCCAAGGGCAAAGCCAAGACCAAAGACACCCACAACCCCGCCTCGGGCAAGGAGTGCCACTACTGCGGGAAGCCCAACCACTTCAAGAACGAGTGCAGGAAGCTCAAGGCCGACATCAAGGCCGGGAAGGTGGACGCGAACGGCAAGCCACTGCCAGGAGCAGGAGCCCGCAGCGTGACAGAGGAGGCCCGAGGAGGAGGAGCAGGAGGAGGAGCAGCAGCAGGGGCATTAGGAAGCAGCAGCACCAGCACGCAGCTGGCCCTGCCCGCGCCGGGCGTGCCGATGCCGATGAACGCGGCGTACCCGGCGCTCTTCCAGCCCATGTGGTACCCGGGCCAGGGGGGAGCGCCTCCAGCGCACGGCATCCACTCCATTCACCCCCCAGGCACCGTCGTCATGGGTCTAGGCCCCGTGCCGCCGGTTCTACCCGGAACCCCGGCAGTTCTTCCTCAGGGCTCCGGCGCAGCATCCAGCTCGTCTCCGGACGAGCCGTGGACGATCCATTGACGGTCAACATGATCCAGCCTGCTGGCATGATTGCTGCGGTGGGACATGGTGGTGTCGAGCTCGCCCTGCTGGACTCCGGGTCGGGGGTCGTGGCATGCCCTGCTGATTATGCACCTGATGTTCCCATGCTGCCTCCTCGTAGGGATCTTCGTCCCATGGTGAGTGCCACGAGCGAGCCCATCAAGAACTACGGCACCAAGAACATCACCTACGTGTTGGACAACGGGGAGGAGATGGCTATCACGTGGAACGTGACGAACGTGAACTGCCTGATCCTCTCGGCCTCCGCGCTGCGGCGCGGAGGGGCGACTGTCGTGATCGCCCCGGAGCGTGAGATGCTCCACACTGCCAGTGGAGGCTGCGTCGACCTCGTCATGCAGTCGGACGTGCCGTGGTTGAGGCTTCGGCGGCAGGCCCGAGGGATCCGTGCAGCGCGCGTCCCAACGGCCATCGAGGTAGGAGAGCCCGCGTCTGCGGCTGAGCCCGCGACTGCGGAGGAGGTGCAGCCCGCGCCTGCGGTAGGCCCCGCGGCGGCGGACGCGGCACCTGTAGAGGCCCGGGCGGCCCCCAGGGAGGCGTTACGACGCATTCCAGCCCCCCTGGATGCCTCTGAGGAGGCGAGGCCTCACCGATCCGTGAAGGTCCCCATCGGCCCCTCGGATCACGAGAAGGAGGAGCACTACTTGACCCACATCCCGTTTAGATCATGGTGCAGCTACTGCACACGGGCTGCGGCCCCTGACGATCCTCACCATCGGACGCGCATGCCCGTTACGATGCCTTTGAAGCCGATTGTGATGATGGACTACACGTTCGTGACCGACCCCCCGTTCGACATGATGACGATCCTGACCGTATACGACCAGGAGCTCGGGATGGTGTTGGCGCTGGTGGTGGACGAGAAGGGCCCCATCGAGTACGCGATCCGCAGCGTCACTGAGTACCTCGGGTACTGGGGTAGGAAGGCCATCATTTTGAGGGTCGACGGCGAGCCCGCCATCAAGGCCCTGGCGGAGGCGATCCGCATCGGGCGTGCGGATCCCACAGTCTTGGAGATGAAGCCCCGGTACTCGCCTGAGTCCATGGGCGGCGTCGAGAACATGAACAAGGAGGTGAAGAACCTGCTGAGGACCATCGTCCTGTACCTGATGGACGTGGCGAAGGTCGAGCTGCACACTGGTCACCCGCTGGTGCCCTGGCTTGTGCGGCACTGCGGCTGGTGCATATGCATGTACCGTGTGCGCGCGGACGGCCAGACGGGCTACGAGAGGTTGAAGGGCCGGCCATACAACGGCAAGATTGCCCTCTTCGGGGAGTGCCTGTGGTACCGGACCCCCGATGCCTCCCGTCTTTCGTCCTTGGACGAGCGCTGGACCACGTGCATCTGGTTGGGCAAGAGCTGGAAGACCGACGAGCACATCATCGTGTTGGGCAACGAAGTGCGCCTAGCCAGATCTGTCCGCCGCAAGGCTATAGGCAAGAGGTGGAACAAGAAGATGCTGGATAAGGTGCTCTGCACTCCGTGGCTTCCGCGCCTGGACGCCCAGACCCCGGCCGTCCGGCCGAAGCGCTACATCACGAAGGCTTACCTCGACAAGTACGGCCTCACTCCCGAGTGCCCCGGCTGCACGGGGCGCACGACGGGACACAGCGACACCTGCAAGGCTCGTTTCTTGGCGATCTGGGGGAAGGAGGATGAGGCACTAGCAAGCAGTAGTGCCGCAGCGCCGGCGGCCTCCGCAGAGGCGCCGCAGCCGGCGGCGTCCGGCCCTCAACTCGAAGCCCCCCCGGGGCTCCCCGCACCTGCCGGAGCCGCTCCAGACGCCGACATGGCAGCTCCGGCGGAGGATGCGGCCCCTGCCGCTCCACCAGGGCTGGCCCCGGCAGCCTGTGACCCCGCCGTGGACGCAGAGATGGAGGCTGCGAGCATCGCGGCGAAGCGCGAGCGGGAGGACCTGAGCTTCCAGGAGAAGGTCGAGCTCTTCGAGAGTGGTGGCGCTGATGCCAGCGGGCCCGCGTCTTCGAGGAGGCGCGTAATCGGCGCTCTGCATGTGTGCGGCCAGCCGTCCCTTGCGGAGGCCAGGAGCATCGCAACGCCGGTGGCCTACGTGGCGACGCCAGACATCGGCACGCAGGACGTCAAGGACCACAAGACCGGCGAGGTGCTCGACCCCGAGCTCGTGCGCGCGGGCCGCGCACGGGATCGCCAGAACATGCTGGACAGGTGCCTCTACGAGCGCGTGCCAATGAAGGACGCTAGGGGCAAGAAGGTGCGCAGCATGTGGCTCGACGAGAAGCGCGTGCAGGACGGTGAGACCACCGTCCGGTCGAGGTGCGTGGCCATGGAGTTCAACATGTACGACCGGCTGGACACGTACACGGCGACGCCCCCACTGAAGTTCATCAAGTTGATCGTCTCACGAGCTGCCTCAATAAGACGTCCTGGCTCCAACGAGTGGACCAGGGTGCTGGGGCTCTACGACATCGTCACAGCATTCTGGCACGCCGACTTGCCGCTGGACGAGCCGATCACGGTGATCCCGCCTAGGGGCGAGGAGGTCCCGGGGATGGTGTGGCAGATGCTGAAGGCGATGTATGGCACGCGCCGTGCGTCGCAGCTGTTCCTCGAGTTTATGGTGAAGGTCTTCGACCAGTGCGGCTACCAGGTTTTGAAAACCAGCCGCCAGATCTTCTACTCGAGGCAGTACGACTCTTTGGCCGGTTTGTGGGGCGACGACATCATAGCTGAGGCGGAGAGCGAGGGCATCGACCATCTTGACGCCATGATCAGCCGGCTGTGCAACATCAAGGTCCTCCCTCGCGTCGGACCTGGTTGCAGCCTGATGGGCCGTTACCTCAAGCGCTACATCTGCTACGTGCCGGGATTCGGCTACGAGTGGAACGAGGACCCGAAACACGTTACGATGCTCTTGGAAAGCACGGGCAAGCTCAAAGCTAAGCCCCAAGGGAGCCCATGCAGCAAGCACATCGGCAGGGACGATCCGGCGATCCTCGACGAGCTCGACGGCGAGTCGCAGACCAAGTATCGTAGCGACACCGGTCGCGTGCTGTACGTGTCGTCCGGGCGCTTCGACATCCAGTACTCGGCCAAGGAACTGGGCGAGCAGATGTCCACGCCTCGCCGGCTAGGCAATGCAAGGCTGGACCGCTGCGCGCGGTACCTCGCAGGCTGCCCGTTCTTGGCGCTCGTCTTCAAGCACGAGCCGGAGGCAGGTGGCTCTTGGATCCCGGTCGACAGCAACTGGGCCGAGGAGCCAGACCGGTACTCGACCCACGCAGGTTGCGAGTTCGTGGGCTCGCATTTGATCGAGTCCTGGGTCGTGACTGACCAGGTCCGTGCCCTCTCCAGTGCGGAGGCCGAGCTTTACGGCATCGTCGACGGTGCGGCCAGGGGTATCATGACCCAGAGCCTCTTCAAGGAGATCGCGGATCTGCGCGGTGCCGGAGCGGCATGGTCCGTGACCGTCGGCAGCGACGCCAGCGCCGCCATCGGCATCAGCTCGAGGAGCGGCGTGGGGAAGACCCGCCATATCGCGACGCGATGGCTCTGGGTCCAGGACGCCGTCCGGGAGAAGCAGATCATCCTCAAGAAGGTCCCCGGCGAGACCAACATCGCCGACCTGGGAACGAAGGCATTGGAGCCGAAGAGGCACCAGGAGCTCATGAAACTGCTCCCCCTGGCAAAGCCTACGTGCCGCCGGTTCCTGGCGGTGTTGGTGGCCCTGGGAGCGGCCCCTGCAACGCAGGCCGCCCAGGAGGCGCAGGAGGAGCTGACGTGCGCGGTGAAGCCGCAGTGCGAGGACTCCAAGCTCATCAACTATATGCTCGTCGCTCTTCTGACCTGGGGGCTGGTGCGCCTCTGGGACTGGGCGCGCCGACCGCGCAAGGTCCAGGAGCAAGTGGGAGCCCGCGGCCGCCTGCGGCGGCGTGACGAGGAGGAGGAGGACGAGCGTAGGAGCAAGAAGCGACGATACAGGGCATCGTGAACCTTACGTGCCTGAACACAGCCATGGCTGATGTGGCTGTCACCTAGGCTGCGGTCAGCCCCGCGCCTGGGTCGCTGGTCAGCGGAACTCCCGCGACAGCACCCGCGTCTGCGGCTCCAGGCCGCGACAGCGGATGAGCCTCGAGGAGGCGAATGGGAAGCAGTACTCACGCGAGGCTGCAGATGACCCCATCGCGGTGCGATGGATGAGCCTTCGGAGGTCTTCCTCGGAGGCGTGGCGATCCGGTGGAGGTGAGCATCCGTGCCGCTCCAACCGATGAGGCTTTTGAGGCCGTGGCCTGGGCAGCGGAAGGCGCCCCGCGCCCAGGGTTCAGGCTAGTGTAGTGAGAGCAGGCAGTGCTTGGCGACTGTCCCGCGCCGCGCTCTGAGGAGGCGTGGTGAACTACATAGCCTAGGAAAGTGAAGGTAGCAAGCCTGATGCAAGTTAGTGCATAGCATTGTGTAGCAGCGTGCGGACATGAGCTATCCCACATCATGGGATTGTGCATCGCGGCGTTCGCGGTGCAAGCTATCGTGTCCGTAACCGTTGGCTCAAGCATCCGAGCGTGGAGGAAAAGAGCGCCCTATTCTTTCCCTCCCATCTGCGATCACTCCCGCGAGTTTCGTACTCGCGCATACGCGAACAGTTTTTGAGCCAAATGGCGTCGGTAACCGATCACCGTTTGCACACAACAGACGCGCTATAGAAAAAACGATGATTGTCCGCCGTCTGCGGCGCTGCTCTGAAAAATACGTTGAATATCGAATCCGCTTCCCCTCATGGGGGCTATGACTGCACCCATGAAAGAACCGCTGCCGCCCCCTGGCAAAAAGCGTGGACACGGGCTCGAACCGCACTGTAGCACTATAGCGGCAGAGCCTGGAAGGGGCTGGCCGGGTAAACGACACCGCCTACAGGGAGGAGGAGGAGGAGGAGGAGGAGGAGGAGGAGGAGGAGGAGGAGGAGGAGGAGGAGGACGAAGAAGAGGAGGGAGAGAGGCAAGCTAGCCAATGATACGAACTTGCCTTGCGGCGTATCTTCCCCTGGCCTGCCGAGGCGTTGTGCGGCCGTCCCCTTGCTGAATGGCCTAGTCGGCCGAACCAGAAAATCCAACACAACATGAGACAAGAGAGGAGAAGAGGACGAAGGAAAACCATCCCAAGGTCTCAGAGAAGCTGTGAAGCTATCGGCCCCCAGGCCGAGCGAAAGCAGAAATGCTGACAGTGCCGATTTAAGTGCAGTGAAGCGTGAGACAAATGGGCTGACCAGGCCCTGGGGGAGAGGGGGAGAGAGCGAGAGACGACGACGAGGACGCCGAGGACGACAACGACACCAGCAGAGGGAGGGGGAGAGGGACGAACGACTAACCTCGAGGCCGCTTGCGCGCCGCAAGCACTAGCGACACAGCCCGCGAGGAACCACGCATTCCCTCCTGAACGAATTCGCCGAATATGCCATCGAAATCGGCGCGGAGAGCCCTGCCATGGGTAGCAGCGCCGTGCAACCTGTACATGGCATAGACGCCAATGGCACGCAGCGTCGCTGCTTTAGCGACACCGCCGGCCGAGCGGAGGTGCGCTTGCAGAGAACCCACACATGGACTCACGCATAGAAAATCAGCCAGTCGCTCCAGGGCCGGAGGCGCCTCAGGATGCAGGTGTTTCGAGCACAGACGGTGAAACGACGCACATATGGCGTAATGCTCGATACTGTCGTCGCGCCCCCTGCAGCCGAAAATACACCCGCCACGGCCTTGAAAACGCCGTGAAGTAGTCCAGCCATTGAAAACACAACGCAAGACAGCTGCAAGCACCCGTGGCGGAGCCACTGCTGCGATATCACGCACTCGATTGAGAAATCGCCCAGGCCGATGCTGTGGTGTACAGGCGCTGTGGTGTGCACAGGCGTTGCGAAGCATTTTGGTGTACACCGGCGCAGTTTTGCACATGGTTGCTGCGGTGTACACATTCGCTGTGGTATACACAGGCGCTGTGGTGCACGCAAGCACTGTGGTGTGCACAGGCACTGCTTTGCACACGGCTGCTGCGGTGTAAACTGGTGTTGTGGTGTACACGCGCGCTGTGTTGCACGCGAGCACTGTGCTGTACACAGGCGCTGTGGTGCAAATCGCCCCCTACATGCTGCTCCTACTTAGACCGGTCATCTCTAGGCATTCCCGGACGCCGCCGGCGCGAAACGTGACGTCATCGGGGGGGGGGGGGGGCGCGGGGCCGCTGGCGGCCGCTGTCCCGTAAAATAAAAAAAGAACGGCTCCAGCCAGCCGCGCGGCGACGGGCGCCTCCCATAATTAGGAGGCCCACGAGGGTGACAACGAGGCAAGGGTAGTGGCACGATGGCTACAGGCAACCCGTATAATGAGGACGCACGACAAGGATACAAGAGCCTTGAAACCCTGAGATCTTGGCGCTGCATTTTTTCACAACGGGCGTTTTCGCCCAGTTTCGGTCCCCGGTATCCTCACAGATCGATCGGGCTCGAAACATGCAGCAGAAAGATAGGGTCTGGGTCTCTGGTGATGAGTTTTTTTTAACTGCCTTTTTTGTGGCAACGTCGGACCACAGGGAAGGTCATGCCGACACTTTGCGGGCCTAAAGACCTGCCCTGGAGATGCACCCGGGGAGGAAGCCCAGAGCACGCTGAACGCAGGAGCTTCTTTGGCGGCGGCGGGAAGGTACCGCGCAGCCCGCGGAGCGAAGAAATCAAGGGCAGCCTCACGAAAAGCAGGTGAGCGACGATCAAGAAAGGATCCTACGCGAGATGACGCAGCGACCTTACGCGGCGGCTTATGCGGGCCGCCAGCGCGGCACGCCACATTGGGAACGAGGGCGCTTGCGTGCGAGCTTGCGCGGACAGCTTACGCGCCAATGTCTGGAGGAAGACAACACGGCACAAACTCTAAACGTCTGGTGATCCGCGCTGTTTCTTGGATCTGCGCCGGACCCCCTCCCTGGCGCGGAGAGCGCCAGGGCCTGGAGGGGCGGCGCTGGAGGCGCCGCCGGGGGGGGGGGGCCCAGCGCGGATCCAAGAAATCTGCACGGAGCGCCAAGAGTTTATGTCTTTGCCGTCTCTGCTTCTTCAAATGTCGGCGCAGCGATTTCTTGAGCAGGGGCCGACCGTCCCGGCATTCCTATAGTCCTACCACGAAATGTTCTTAGAACCCAATCATGTTCTAAGGACAAAAACAATGTTCTTAGAACATAAACCCGATGTGTTAAACCAAGACGGACTCCGCCAGGAATGTTCTAAGAACATTTCGTGGGAACCACAAGAGGTTCTTAGAACATTGCTTAGTGGGGCTATAGGCGAGCCAGGACGCTTCGCCACTGCTTGAATTTCATGATGCGGGTCCCCACATATGTTCCAATCTGTTCTGGGTTTGGGTCTTCCCCCCACTTCCCATGTTTTCGCTGGGAGTCGACTATTCACTGTGTCAGTGTGTGTCTTTCCCTCCTGAACTCTGTCGGTGCGCGCTCCTCCCCCGAGCTTTCCCTTCTCCGAGCTCCGCAGCGCCCGCCTGCTCGCCCAGCGTGCCGCACCGCGCCGACGCCTCGAGGGGGCAACGCTCGGGGGGGGGGGGAGCCGGCTCCAGGGGGCGACACACCGACCCAGAACCGGCGATGCCTCGCCGATACATCTAGACGAAGAAACATGAAGGGGGCCCAGGACACACAAATAAATACATGCAAATTCAAGGATTCCCCATATTTCCCAATATTTTCTGGGTTTTTGTCTTCTCCCCCACTTCCCATACTTTCCCATATTTCCTGGGGAATCGACGATTAATTATGTCTGTGGGTTTTTTCCCCTCCTGATCCAGGGGGCGACACACCGACCCAGAACCAGCGATGCCTCGCCGATGCATCTAGACGAAGAAAGAGGGCCATCAGCATAAACGGTTGGCGCTCCGCGCGGATTTCTCGGATCCGCGCCGGACCCCCCTCCCTGGCGCGCTCCGCGCGCCAGGGGCGGCGTCGGAGGCGCCGCCGGGAGGCGCCGCCGGGGGGGGACCCAGCGCGGATCCAAGAAATTCGCGCGGAGCGCCAGCAGCTTATGCTTATGGCCTTTTTCATTCTTCGAGCATCGCCTGGCGGCGGGGTCGAACTCAGCTGCGTGCAGGACGCGTCGCCCTGCCACTCCTTTCCCAATCCTCCCCTCTCCTGAGAACGGGGCACGTTCGGGGGGGACCCGCCCACAACAGCCCAAAACCGCCCGCTCCAAGTTTTGTTGGAGCGTCGGATCTCTGGGCTTCTGACGTCCCAGGCATGCGATGCCAAGATTTGCTCAACGCGGGAGCCCTGGAGGTCTGGCCCCGTTCCCCGGGGCTGGCGTTTCACCCCGAGCCCCCATGCCTCGCCGCTGCGAAAGTTCGGCCAAGATGCAGCGCCTCCCGTTAGGCGACGGGGCCCCAGTACAACGCTGTCAGAGGCGCTGCGCCCGCGACGAGGGGACACCAAAGGGGCCCGCTCGGCCGCGAGACCCCAGCACAACGTTCTGCTCAAGGGCTGTTTTGTTCAAGTCTCGGGCGGAACTGCTCTTTCGAATTCGAGGCCGATAGTTTCGAAATCCAGTCGAGATCGTTGTTGTTGGAGGATGGCTCAAGCGAAAACCACACTTTCGAAATCTAAGCAAAAACTTAATAAGGCCAAGCGGTGTGGCCATTTCGAAACAACGGCTTCACTGGACACTTCCGCTACAAAAACAATTTCGAACGATTTCGAAACTTCCTGGCTCGATTTCGAAATGGCGGTCCCGCCCAGGACTTGCTCCAAACTAGATGTCGAAACCTTTCTGGTTCGATTTCGACGTGGCGCTCCCGCCCAGGACTGCCTCCGAAACAGAATCTGGAGCCTTTCGAGTTCGATTTCGAAATGGCGCTCCCACCCAGGACTTCCCGAAAACTGGAATTCGACACCCTTCTGGCTGGATTTCGAAATGGCGCTGCCGCCCAGGACTTCCTCGACAATGGAGGTCGACACTCCTCCGGCTCGAGTTCGCACTGGGCCTCCCGCCCGCGACTGGCCTTCGCGGAAGCTTTCGCAGCGGGTCACAACTCTCGCAGCCGTGATGCGTGGAGGCCGAACGTGGCCGTGTCCCGAGCCCGTCCGGTGGGCCCATCCTCTGCGCCTCTCCGCTGAGCCTGGGCCCTGAGCCCCTCCTCCGAGCCTGTCCTCCCCCTTTGCCCCCCCCCCCCCCCCCCCCCCCCTCCTGCGCCTATATATATATATATATACATATATATACATATATAATTATATATATATATATATATATATATCCCTCCCTTTTGCCCCTGCCTCCGAGCCTCCGCGACGAGCTGCTGCCGACGCCGCTCGGCCTCCAGCTCGCACTCGCGGGCGGCCTCCGCCACGCGCCCCTCGAGCTGCTGCAGGCGCGCGCGGCTCTCGGACCGCGCCTGCTCCAGCTCCTCCTCCGCCTGCCGCAGCTCCTGGGAGGCACGACGGACGCCACAGGCAGAGCGGCGAAGCCAGGGCGAGGACACCTTTGGGAGGGGGAGATGTCGGGAATCTCTGGGATCCCTCGGCTCTGGAAGACGTCTCGGGTGCGGCGCCCTTCTCGGAGCCGTTCCGGAACGCTCTGGGAGCATTCTGGAACGCCTTGGAACGGACTTATCCTCGTCCTAACCCCGTCCGAGACAGGCACATGCAAGCCTGGGCGCTGCAACCCTCTCACGCGCTGGGCGCTTTCGGCCGGCCCCCAGGGCCTTCACGGACCGACCTGCGGCCGACGGAGAGGGCAGCAGAGAGCTGGGGCCCAGGGCTCCGATCACGATGTTCAGGATGTTGCACGCTTCCCGTGACGTCGGATCTCATGGTAAGGCCTCGGGTTGAGCACAGACCGCCTCCGGCGGCGCCCCCCGGGGCGATCCGCGTTGGGGTGTTGAGACTGCCCTGGACTTCTCAGCATGAAGGAAGCGGGGCCGTGGGAGATGGGTCCTGGAACCCAGGGCCTTCCCCCAGAACCAGATTCTCACCCCGTCCGAAGAGAAAAGCAACACAAGACCAATTTCCCTCAAGACACGTCTGCTTCTTGGCGGGCTACTCGGTGGACCTGGTCGGTCCGTGCGCAATCCGAAGCCTTTCTGTTGCAACTTCGGGGGACCACATCTGTCCCATCGCGCCAAATTGTCCGTGTCGCATCCGTGTCGACTCCATGTCGAACGCGTCGAATCCGTGTCGCACCCGTGTCGAATCCGCGTCGAATCTACGCCAGCTCCGCGTCGAGTCCGCCTCGAACTCGCGGGCGCAAACAAAGACTTCACTTTTCTTTAGTTGCCACCCTCTCGGGGGCCCGCGCGGATCTCAAGACGAATCCAGGACGAGGATACCATAGACTGAGGATATTTCGGGCAATCTCTGAGGTGCAGATGTCTCGGTCGCCGGTCCCGCGCTCTGGAGGATGTCTCGGTCGCCGCGGCCCTCCCAGAGCGTTCCAGGACGCTCGGAGAAGAAGAAACTGCATGAACAGAAACTCTTGGCGCTCCGCACGGAATCCTTGGATCCGCGCTGGACCCCCCCTCCCTGGCGCACGGAGCGCGCCAGGGGCGCCGCCGGGGGGCCCCAGCGCGGATCTACGAAATCCGAGCGCAGCGCCAAAGTTTATGCTTCTGCAGTGTCTTCTGCTTCGACGGAGGGCGCTCCGGAATGCTCTGGAACGGACGTTTCTGCGTCCTCGCCACGTCCGGGATCCCTCGGCGGCGGCCGGAGGAGGAGGAGGAGGAGGAGGAGGAGGAGGAGGAGGAGGAGGAGGAGGAGGAGGAGGAGGAGGAGGAGGAGGAGGAGGAGGAGGAGGTGAGGAGGTGAAGGAGGAAGGAGGGGAAGGAGAGGGAGGAGGAGGGGGAGGGGGGGAGGAGGGCGCCAGCGCACGGCACGCGCCCGTCCCACAGGGCGCGCCCGAGCGCGCTGAGACTACCCAGGCGGCGATTCGAGCGCGCCGCCGCCTCCGGGAGAGGCGCGCCGCCGATGCGAGAGGTCCGCGCGGGCCCTCGAGGGATGGATACTCGCGCCGTGCTCGCTTGGATGGGCCGATCTTCCACCACCACTATCGGAATTAAAAAAGTGGGATAGGGGGGAGGAGGAGGAGGAGGAGGAGGAGGAGGAGGAGGAGGAGGAGGAGGAGGAGGAGGAGGAGGCGGAGGAGGAGGAGGAGGAGGAGGAGGAGGAGGACCTCCCCATCCTCGCTTCCCCCTCGTCCCACATGTGGCAGCGGTAGTGGCAGAATTGGCCCATCACGTCTGACAGGAGATCCTCGCCTTCGGCAGCACTGTGCGTCGGCGTCGCAGCGGCGAGAGCCCTCGCCGCGCGTTGGGGGGGGGGGGCAGCCGTGGGCTGCCGCGAGGCCGAGCGGGGCACTGCGGGCGGAGGGAGGGACGAGGCGCGCGGGCGAGGAGCGGAGCACGTGCAGAGCGTGCAGATCCTGAGCGTGTGTGCCGGAGCACACGATGACGACGACGACGACGACGACGACGACGACGACGACGACGACGACGACGACGACGACGACGACGACGACGGCGACGGTGCTGGAGCACGTGCAACACCACCACCCTTCAGCAGAGCACCCTGGAGTGACAAAAAACTGCCCGGGGCCAGGCGCGGCAGCAGGCCCACCGAGCTTGCGGCCGCGGCGCCCCCTCGAGAAGCGAGCATGGCAGTTCGCCATTACAGGGTCCCAGGGACGACTTGGCGGGGTGGGATTCCTACGGTCAGGGACTGTTGCTCTCGGCGCGTCGCGGCGGCGGCCCCGGCGACACGCCATGCTGCGCCTGCGAGCTGGCGGCGTGTCGCTCTGCCTCGCGGGGCGGGAGGCGGCAGCGGAGGCCAATCCACGAGAAGCCTTCCACAAGAAACGGGGTGGGAAAAGGAGGAAGAGCAGGACTCCTCCTCCTCCTCCTCCTCCTCCTCCTCCTCCTCCTCCTCCTCCTCCTCCTCCTCCTCATCCCTCCTCCTCCTTCGCTTCGTTCCGCACTGGCACGCCAACCCTGAACCCCTGGGACGTCCATGGATTTCTGGCGTGGGAGCGTCGCGCTTTCCACGGCAAAGCCACCGAAACCCGAGAAAAACCCAGGGCACCCTGGAGGCAGGCAGGGTGCTTCTTGGCATGGGTCCCCGCTGTGCCTGCGAGCGGATCGCGCGTCGCTCTGCCTCGCGGGGCGGGAGGCTGGGAAGAGCTCGGGACGTCGACTCTTGGGGGCTGGGGCGTGGTTACAGGGCAGTTTTTAATACCTGGGATTTTCAAACACATATGATCTTCATACATCGTTAGTCTATGAAGAAACTTATGCATGAACTCATCGTTGCTTTTAATACTAAATCCTTGCAGGTTTGATACATGATCCGCACGCGGAGTAGTGCACTGGTCTTTAAAACGGCACTGTAGTGTGTCGGGCTGAAGCGTGGTGGGTCAGAGCTGGCGGCGAGACACGCTACTTAAGCAAGCAGAAGACCCGACCGTCCCAGACGTCCGATGCTGGAATTGTTTCAGCGCGGGGCCCCCGAGAGTCCTGACCCTTCCTCTCCCAATGGCCAGATTCTCATCTGGTGAGGGGACTAAAAGGTAGAACCCCTTCGTGGAGGCCCTGGGGGTTCGACTTTTTGAGTCCTCTCGCGCCTCTGCTGCCGAATGCCTGGGACCAATTGTGAATCTGGGGGGAGGGGGGAGCCGATCGAAGGGTTCCACTTTTTTGCCCATCTGCGGTCCCGCGCCGTTTTATTGGTTGCACTGGGCCTGGCGAGGGCCCCCAGAGGCCGAAAATGCCCCAAAGCTCCCGCCGTGAGTTCTCCACGACGCGAGCATGTCTGCGCTTGGGGGGCCATGGCTCGACTCGCCGGCGGCCGTCCGGACGACCCGGGTTGCCCCAGAACGCGCCCCAAGGCGGGGCACAGCCGCTGGAGGGCATGCCCGGGCTGGAACACCGCCGAGAGCCAGCGAAACCGCCCGAGAATCTCGAGCCTCGAGCCTCGATCCCTGGGCTCCTGGAGGGCGGCCTCCTTGTCGTCGCGCAGCCGCCTCAGCCCCTGCATGCTCGTGGCCGGCCGTGCGCGGCGCCCGCAGCGGCGCTCCACGGCGGGCGCGCGGCTGTGGGAGTGCTGCTCCGGCAGGGAGGCCTAGCACGAGCGGCAATCGTACGAGCCTGCGTGTGTTTTTAGATTCGGGCAGATTTGCTTGCATGGCGTTCGCCCCCCCCCCCCCCCCCCCTCTCGCCCCTCCTCAGACGAAACGAACACTGCGCTTCGAGTGCGTGTCAACTTGCGTGATCTCCGCACGTGCAAGTCGTTTGCGGCTTGCTTCGGGTTCAGCCCCCCGCGTCCATGCAAGTAACTTTCTTAGAGTCTAAGGAACAGGCTCTATCCACGTCCGCGCCCTCGCGGTCTGGATTCCGCTGCGCGATCCAGTGGATCCCGGATCTCCGACGACAGTGTTCGGCGGCGAGCACGGGGGGGGAAATGAGGAGGGGCGGGCCTTCTCAGAAGGCTTGGAAATCCCGGGCGGGCCTTCTGAGAAGGCTTGGAAATCCCCCGGCCTTCTGAGAAGTTTTCGAAGCCTTCCCCGAAGACACGGAAAACGTCTCAGAAGGCGCGAGGGCTTCTGAGAAGTCCCACCGCTTTCTGAGAAGGCCTTCTCCTGGTCGTTTCCCCCCCTCGCTCGCCGCCGAATGGTGCTCTCAATCACGGCGCTTGTCCTTGATTTCGGCCTCCGGGGCCCGTTATCTCGGGCCTGGAATATCAACAGATGCTGACCCTGGGCAGGAAGAGCCACCCCTGGGGCAGGGTCGGGAGCTCTGCAGGGCCGCAGATCGAAACCTCTGACCGTCCTAAGACCCCCACGCCATGCTCTTTCCGTGACGCGACAAACCAGAAGTCTGGACCCGTCCTGGGGATTGTTTGCTGCCATCCCGAGTCGTTTTGCTGACGGTCCCGAGGCCCGGCGAGGGCCCCCAGAGCTCGACAATGGCGACCCCCCCCCCGTCGTGATTCTTCACAGCGCGTGGCATCCGCGAGCCCCCCCAAAAACGCCCCGACGGGGTCGCTGCCCCAGGGCCCGGACCGCGCGGCCGTGGATGTGGGCATTGCGAGGCCCAAAGGTCTACAGTAGTTATGCACCACCGCCACCACCTCCCTCATCCCGTCCCTCTCCCTGGAGAGGGGGGAGGGAGAGGAGGGTGGAGGGAGAGGAGGGAGGAGGGGAGAGGGGGGAGGGAGAGGACTGGAGATGGTGGCGGTGGCGTGTACTGTTGGGACCCGCAGGTGTGCCTCCCGCCCGCGGGCCTGGTCGTTCCGACGCTTGGCCTGCGCGAGCCGCTCCTCGAGGCGAGGGGAGGACAGGACGGCGCGGGCGCGCTGCCTCGAGAGATCCCGCGCGGCTCCCACGCGAGGGGGATCCCGCGCGAGAATGTCGACGTTTTCTTTCTCCGCGTCTTGACACTGGACGGGAGGGGGGGTGCGGGCTCCAGACTTCGTGGGCCCTGGAAACGACAAGGCGGTTTTTGGCACCAACTCCGTTTTGCCGTTTCCTTGCGGGTTCCGACGCTGCTCTTTTACCGGTTCCGTCGCCGTTTTTGTACCGGTCCCAGCTCCGGTTCCGATCCTGGAGTCGCTTTTTGCCGTTTCCGGTCGCCGTTGTTTTGCCGTTTCCATTTTCAAGAGACACTTGTTCGGAACCGGTGAAAAAACGGCCCTGCTGTTTCCGGGGCCCACTAAGGCTCCAGACCTCTGCTTCATGCGACTGTTTGCAACCGTGCGTCCCTTGGGGGAGGCTCCACCTGCTCGAAACAGGCGCCAAAATCAGCCAAGATCAACTCCATGGGGGGGGAGGGGGGGGGTGCGAGGGCCCGCGCCCGCCGATCGGCAAAACAATGAATCAGAAAACGATCACAATGGGGTCGGGATCTCGAGTCGCTGTTTTATATTTGCCTCGCTGCGACTGTCTTCGAGCCGTGGGCAGACACCAGCTGCACGTAAGAGTGACCCTGGGTAAGAGTGACCTTTGGTGTGCGGCTTTCTGGGGGCCGCGGGGGGGCTAAACACAAGCGCGCAAGACGCTACTGCCGCATCGCGTTCGGTGATCGGGGGACTCCAGTGGGCTCGCACCGTATGTCACTTCGGCGAAAGATCGCTCTTACGTCTAGTCAAAGACATCACGAGGCGCGAGTCTGCCTCGTTTCTCGCCCCAGGCGCCCTCGACGGAGCGATCGCGCCCGAGAGATCCCGCGCAAAACCGGGATCTCTCGGATCGGCGGCGGGCTCCCCTGGCGGCGCCTCTGGCGCCGCCGACGATATGATTTGTTCATAGCGTCGACCCCCAGAGGTTTCGATCCATTCCCTGGGACCCGTTCTTCATCCTGGATCGGTTGCTGACGGTTCCGAGGCCCCGCAAGAGCCCCGAGAGACTGAAAATAGCAGAACAAAAACAGTCGCGATTTGTTTTAATTCGAGGGGGTCTCGGGAGGGTGGCCCGGCACCTCCTAACGTGTCGATGCAATTCTTTCCTCTTCTTCTTCTTCTTCTTCTTCTCCGTCGATCCTCCACGCTCTCCACCATCTTCTGCACGGCGCTGGCGTCCTCGACGTCGCCGAGCGCCTCCTCCTCCTCCAGCCACCTGTTGGCCACGACGCAGGAAGCGCGGGCGCCCCGAGGGAAGCGGACCCTGGAGCCCGGGGCTGGGCCCCTGGACCCAGCACCTTCCTCCCCCGAGCCTGGCGCTGTGGACGGCCCCTGGGGCCCAGCGGAGTGCCACGGGGAAGCCCAAGACGGCGAGGAAGACTCGGGACCCGCTTCCCTCGGACCCCTTCTGTTCCCTTCCCGGGGATCCGACGAGGCGACGCATGGCACGACATCACGAGGCATCGCCACGGGAACCCCACAGAACCCGTCCTTCTGCTTCTTGTATTGCTCGGGCCAGGTCGATCCGTGGTGGCCCCATGGGGCCCGAAGCCGGTCGAAGACGCGCCCCACGAGCAGAGCTGGCAGCGCCCAGGTCTCGGGGTTCACACGGCGGGCCGCCGCTGGTTCTCGTCGATGCGGCGGCGGAGCGCGTCCCGC